TGTCAAGGACAGAAAGGCAGATGTGGCAGTGGAAGGTGTCAAAGCAGTTTGGAGAGAAAATCAAATTAAAAAGAAAAAACAACAACTAATTGACTATTAAATTAGTCATCGATTATCATCGACTAATCAGAAAAACAAAGTAAAGAACAAAAAAAAAACGATCAATCGATTATTAAATTAGTCATCGATTATTTTAATAATCGATTAGTCTTCAATTAATTGACTAATCGTGGCAGCCCTAATCAGGAGCCAGACCCCAGGAGCCCCAAACAGCCCCAGGGAAGCTGGAGCACCAGCCCCGCCCCCGGAACCCCTCCAAGCCCCAAGTCCGCCCGCAGCCCAGGTCCCACCAGACGGTCTGCCCCTCATCTGGACCCCATCCCCAGAAGGCCAACGGGGAATGGGGGAGTGAAATAGACCCCGACACACACACCCCCACCCTCAGATGTACTGTTGATGTGTGATGTTCTACAATGCAATTAAAATGGAGAAGAAGACAGGGCAGAGGCCAGCACMATGCCAGTTTCCCCTCCACCCCAACTCTAACCCTAACCCTAAATGTCTAAAAGCAAACACTGGGAGTGGGCACAGGCATCTGTGGCGAGAGTGTTCCATCATGCCCCTTGGATGCCATAGGTGCCCCACCCCCCAAGTTCCTATATGTAAATGTTATGAGGATGTWATGAGTGAATGTCTAAGGTGTAAAATTGGAGCCCAGGTGGCCACAGCAAACAGGTGTAAAATTGTTGCTCTTTGTAACACACCTGCGCCCCAAAAACCCTACATGAGTGCAGCTGAAAYTGAAGAGCGTGGAGGTGTGTGGTGGAGGATGCGGAGAAAAAACAGGGAGCAAAATGCTCCAACAGGGGTTCAGCTCCCCCACTGACCCCAGTAGGCTCCCCCATTTCCCGAGACCCCCCCCCCCGCCATCAGCTTTGTGTTTTATATTTAAGTGATATTTCAGTCTTGAACTGGTTACATAGTTCTTAGCTGCAATGCTTACAGATTAGTATCTATCCAGCCTGCTGTTGGGAAGCTTTAAAATAAAAATGTCCATAAAAAACTCTGATGTCTTCCTCCATGTTTCTGTTCTTGCTGCTTATTTTCTGCTAGGATTCATGTGAGCACTGCCAGAAACAGCTCTACAACAGAGACTCTCAGTGGTAGAGATGTTCAGTGATGGTCATCTAGAGCAGTGGTTCCCAAACTTTTTATCTTCTGACCCACAAAATATTCATGGCAAAAACTTGTGACRCCAAATATTACTGGTCTGAGTACACGAACGTTGTTAATAACCCTAAAAACACAAGCTTTTTGACAATCTAAACAGCTTGTACACAAATATAAATACTTATTTATACTTATTTTGGGTTTTTGTAATAATTATAGGGAAAATATTACATCATCAATTATTTTATTATCCTTTTAATTGATTTCTGGAGATTATCCAAGGTGCTTCATGACCCATAATTGGGTCCCAAGCCCAACTTTGGGAACCAAAGTGCAGTGGTTCCCAAACTTTTCAGCTTTTGACCCACAAAAAAACAATAACAGAGACCTGTGCCCAACGATGTTTGGATGATAAACATTTGTATCAGGTCAACAAAACATGGGCATAGTAACAATATTTTTTATAATGCATTTATCCATTTTAAATATACTAACTTCACTCCTTTGTAACAACTAAGGCAAAAATGTAATTAATTCAGAAAATCTTTTCAGGACCCCACCTTGATGTTTCGGGACCCCACTTTGGGTCCCGACCCCAACTTTGGGAAACACTGATCTAGAGCCAATAGTGATCAAAATCCCCCCCCGACCCCTGGGTTTGTCTGTGTGTATGTGTTCTAAGCCAGTAAGCAACAGACTTAAAATAAAAAATTAAATTAAATAAAAAAATAAAAAAACAGCATTAGCGCACGTTAAAACAACTGTCGCTGTAAATCATCAGCTGTGGTAATGTGATAACTCATGATTCAGTTCGATTCGATACTTTAGTCTCACAGTTCAATAATTTTTCGATACAAAAAAGAGAAATGTCCATGCCCTTCTTAATGTGTAATTTATTGAAATTAATTATGAACATTTGTTTAACCTCAAAAGTACAGTTTTTAAATTAAAAGTTGCTGAAACAGCAAGTTTCTCAGTGGATCTGTGTTCAACAATGTCGCCTAGGTGGAGTAGTCGAACACAGATCCTCTGATCCTTCAACACAGAGCATCTTCAGAAGACAAGTTGATAAAATAAATTTTAAATATCTGTATTGTTCCAGTATTGAACCTAAAACCTGTATTGAACAATTCAATACTGATACATGTATTGTTGCAGCACTAATAATGTGTTTACTTTAAACATAAATATTTTGTCAGATTAGATTATTACAACAACAGGTCCAACGTTGTTATTTTTATGGATTTTAGATTAAATAGATGTACTTTGAAATATTGTTCAGTAACTGGATTGGTACCCTTCAGAACTTTTTCAATAATTTTCTCATTTGCTTTGCTATAAACTGCAATTCCAGTATTATCTCAGCAGGTTTTAGATGGAACTGTGTGAATGAGCTTTTTAATAATCCGTCTGCAGAGTTGCTCCAGGTGTCACAAGTGGAGACGATTGGTTTAGCAAAATTTAAAGACTCAAAACCTAAATTATGGATTTGTAGTACATTCATTATTGTCCTTTTAAGCCACAAAAAGCAAAAATGTAATTTAAAGGAAGTCTAGTTAATCTAACAGTTAAATTAATCTCTGAAAATAATGTAAAGCAGTATCTTTCGGAGTAAGCCAAGAAAACAATCAGCTGTTTAATCTGAGAGAAGATCAAARATGAGGCAAAAATCAGACACGAACCTGTAAGTACAAACCAGTGCAAATCAGCAGGAGGAGGATCGGCCTCATTCTGTCCTTCAGCTGAGAAACAACACAGAGAGGAGAATCAGTCGGAGTTTGTTCTGCAGGTTCATGGTTCAGTGTCAGAGCTTAGAGCACAGCTTAGGGCTGATAACCTTCTTTAATACCTGTTTGCTTTGGGTGAATGTTGGAACAGAAGAGATTAATATTGTTGCAGCAGCTGCCACGCCAAAAAAAAAAAAAAAATCGTGTTTGACATTTTAGATACTGCATAAAGTACAAGCCGTGTTTGTTTGTTTTTATGTTCAAATTAAAGTATGGTGTGCCCAGTGTAAAATGACGTTAAAAAAATTCACCAACATATTTTCATTTTTTAGCTCACATTTTGAGTGTTAGAAAGCTTCCACTAATAATTTAATTTTTAATAAATGTTATATTAAAATGTTAAAATTACATAAATATTAATATTTAAAGCTTTAGTTGCATTAGAGCGCTAGCTGTTGTTGTTGTCTCTGTATGATGATGTCACAACATGAGCAGCACCAACAGCAATAAAGACTGTGGTCCATTCCAAAATACCCAAATGTGAACTTCAACATTTAAAGTGTATCTTACCCCCCCTGTGAAAAGATAACTCCGCCCCAAGGTGAAATATGAAAAATGCATCAAAATGGGTAGGGGAGGGGGTGTGGGTGGGGGAG